GTCCCAGTGGCTTAATAGTCTACGAGCTCGCCTTGTAACCAGAAGCTCCTGGGTTCGAATTACGGTGGGTGCGTACTAATAAAGATTCCCAAACTAGGTTGAAACAGCTGGTTGTCCAGCACTCTCAGGGTTTTTCAATGGTTCTCTAACCAATGTCCGCTCATGATGAAATCCTGTAACCAATCAATTAAATCTCTACAAACCAACACTTGAATTATGTGGGATGTATTTGCACTGTACACTTAGAACAATCTGATCAAATATTTACTTGTCAAGTCGATATACATGAAAAAATTAAGGACAGTTAAATAAAGGGACAAATGAGATTTAAGAATAACTGACACAACGTTTGGTAATCCAATAAAATAAGGATTACCAAGGTAGGTTAAGAGTAATAATAAACTGTTTTTTGAATACACAGTGGGTGTGTGTGTTTGGGAGGGGGTGCTTGAGTTTGTGAATAGCTATAACCTAAGGGTATTTCAATAAGCGCCCTTGATCAAAATTTACCCAAGGAAGGTTTAGTGCGATGATGAATTGTTTTTGAACGCATAAAGGTGGCTTAAACTTTCTAATTGCTAGGAATTCCACAAACTTTAGGATACGCCCCAAACACGTTTTATAGATATGTTTAAAAGATCTGTTAACGTCAATTTTATGTCCTGTCTCCATAATATGTTTCGCAACAGAAGAGCTAGGTCTCCTGTTCTCACCATTAATAGGTTCTGAAGATTCCATTTGTTTCTGGAGTCATTTAGGTAGATGCTCTGAAGCCCTTACTTGCAGAGACCGATGAGTTCTCTTTATGTATGTCCGTGTGACCAGACTGTTCGAAATGTGTTGCGCAAATACATTACACGATTCAGACAAATTATGTCTTCTTATTGCTTTATCTAAATTCATAAAGGGAACTAATTGTTTTAATCAATAATAATTTACATTGATAATGTTGTTCAGTAAGAAGTGAATATAAACTAAATGAAGTGAAACTATTAGCGACAATGTAATAATCAAACAAATGGGCCGTTGACTTAGAGTTCCTCAGTTTCCGCAGTTTCCTGTCTCACACCCTCCTCATCACAAAAAATGTGTAATAAATAAGGTATCGTAGAGTTTTTGAACAGAGTCGACCGAGCATACAGTCTTTAATAGTTGCTTCTAGTTCTACCTAGCTGATGAAATGCATGCAGAGTGATGTGTATTGAAAGGATGTTCAGAGTCTGTTAGGATAATATTTGCCAGTTTCCGGCAGGAATCTCAGTGTCTGTCTATAATGGTATAAACGAGTCGATTTAGCATTAACCCACTCGCCCTACTGATGGCTTTCAGCAACCATTGCAGTAAAAAAAGCAGTCTTTCTGAAGTAGTCCAGGATAGATTTAGGCGGGGGAACAGTACGGAAGTAAAGGCGGAATACAAGGACTAGAAAATTCTAACGGTAAAGACGGCATGATACCAGACCGTCGTAACTTCTTTACATAGAACGTGAAACGAATAACATGATGTGGGAAGACCAGGAAAGGTGATCAGAGGAAAAAGAAGGTCCAAGCTATTTAACATTAGATTTGATTTCAAATTCACTGCCATCTATGATAGTGAAACCGTCCAAACGAATTACTTCACGTTAGTCACACTTGCATCTAAAGGTGGAGTTAACCACCTGACACTTGGAGGGATTCAGCTTAGAAACATTTGTCGAGGACCACTGATTAATTTCTGATAAAAAGTTATTCATTTTGGAACCATCTGCCTGAGAATTAATCGCCGGTATTGAGGCAGTCAGACCATTTGTATACTTAATAAAATTGGCTTCATCTGAAGAATGGTGCAAGTCATGTAAGAAGAAGGAAAACTGAAAAGGAAAACAGACAGCTCCCTGAGGAACACCAGTTAAAGGAAGTAAAGCAGTGGAGGACTTCCCATTGCAAAAAGTGTACTGCTTCCTATCAAAAAAGTAAGAATGCAACCACACTCTGCTCGTAACACATCAAGCTTATTTAACAAATAGGGTAGGTGAGTAATCTAGGAAGACACACCAAACATATTCGGCACCTCTGTCTAAATTAGAAACAATACTGTGATATAAGATGGTATTGGCACCTAAAGCACACTTACTATGCTTATAGGCATATAAGTTAGGGTCGTTGGAAGCCTTCGATGAAAGTTAAAGGCTAAGTGAGTGCAGTTTTTCCACTACTTTTATAAATTCGAAGTAATGGCAGCAGATTTAAGCTGAACACTTGATCCATTTGATGATTTAAGCACAGGAACAGTCTAAATGTCCTTCCATGAAGCAGGCATAGTGTTACTGGAAAGTGCTTCATTGAAAATACCAGTGAGAAGATAACATAAAAATGTCAGCACATGTTTTGAAGATAATCGCTGATACACCATGCGGATCAGTGGATTGGATAGGCTGCAGGGATTTGAGACATTTGAGAACATCCTTTCAGTTAAAATCAAAGAAGTGATCATTGCTTGCACATGTAATGTTTCAGATCATAGCATCAGCTGAACGATTTATGAAAATCAGCATCAACTGCAGAGGGATCACTATTTATTTGCTTACCACCGGTGATTGCTTTACATAGCTTCCACATTTCTGAAGTAGTTTTGCATGATAAGAACTTTTCGTTATAGATCGTTTCCATTGTATGTATTTCTGATTTAATCAAGATGCTCAGCCTCCTAACACCAGGATTTTCTTTCATTTTGTCTAATCGTTTTTTCCTCTTCAAAACTTTTTTGAGTTTGGAAATGGAAAAGCGATCGAATCCTAAGAAGAGTTTCTCTTTTGGATAACAAACATCAAGACAAAATTTGAGATGTCATGTTACGTTTGTGAATGTGTCATTTGGAACTTGTTCAGTAAATAACTTCATATTCGTGTCATTCAACATGTTTGTTAGATTTTGTATACTTGCGCTGATTCGACTCTGTCTTTCTGTCACTCTCTCTAAATCTGTAAGTTATCTTTAACCAATATATAATGAAAAATTTTTATCATGTAAAAATCCTTCAAACATTTGGAAACTTTTCAGTAAACTTACAAGTAAAAAACAAATGTCTGTTGCTTATAAGTGTGGAAGAAGTACATTAGATGCAGCCATTGTACTACACCACAATATTGTTTCCTGCCTTGATAAAGGTACTGAGTTCGTTCGAACAGCTTTTTTAGACTATACTTCAGCTTTCGACTCTGTTCCTAGGACACTTTTATTAGGAAAGATGATTTCAGCACAAATAGAGTCCTGGGCAGCTAGATGGCTGTCTTCTTATTTTAAGGATAGGAAACAGCATACTGTTTTGTCTGGAAAGCGCTCCACTTCTCAGCTAACTGGTGTACCTTAAGGTGCAGTACTTTCTCCATTTCTTTTCTCTTTCTTTTTGCATGACCTTCCGAATTCACCCAAAGTTAACTTCATTAAGTATGCTGATGATCTGACCGTTTCTGTCCCTGTAGTTTCCACATCGGATTGTTTCCATATGAATGGCTTCTTAGCTGAAGTTAAGGATTGGTCTGGCTCAGATGGTCATAAACTAAATCCAACTAAATGTAATACTGTTGATTTCAGCTTGAGAAGTGAAAAAGACATGCATGGATTGGTCCAATCTCATGATTGTTGCAATATTGGTAGTACCAAGATAGAGAGTAAGTCAAGTGTTTCTTATCTTGGCATTTGTTTCTCTTCAAACCTTTGCTGGTCGTCTCATATTCTTATAGTTTATAAGAAAGTTTTCCGTCTGATTTATTACGTAAAGAAGTTGAGGCACTCAGGTATAGCCCAACCTCTTCTCATACAATTTATTAATTTATGTGTTTTGCCCATCATTATTTATTGTTCTCCATTATTCTTCCCCGGGGCTACTCAAGAAAGACCATATAATACTACGAAGAACATTGAAGGCTGTAAGTAGGGTCAGTGCTATCCCTTTGACTCAACTAACCGACACTGTTGTCAATAGGCATATGAATTCTTGTAAACACTTAGCTAAAGTTATCTTGTCTGATAGTGAACATCCTCTTTATTCACAATTGTTTCCTTGCATCTCTTCAGGTAAGACCAGAAGAAATTTCATAAACATTTATGCTCGTACTACAAAATATAAAAATTCGACCGTACCATATTTGGCACGAGTATTGTGTGAAGAGACGAATATCAGAAAAGAACTTTTACAACTTTTAAATCATTAACTAAACTATAAAATGTAATGATGCATATTATTGCATGTGTTATTTCTTATATTATTTATTTATTATGCACTATGACCTAGCAATGGTGTGATTTTGTTGGGGTTTTTATTTTTTCCTATTAACTATCAATATTTTAACATTTTATACATTTATATAATTAAAACAGAGCTAAACCATTGCAATATGTAAAAGAAATGCTGAAAATTCCATGCTGTAAATTGTTATTGTTGTGGAATAAAGTGAATTATTATTATTATTAACAGCTGATAAGCTCGATCAAAAACTTGGCAAATCACCGGTTCAGTATTTCAGTTACCTCGATGGCATAATTCTTCAACATTAGGAGGCTTTTAACATCCTATTTGAATCACAGTAGTGCATCAGTTTACTCTGTCATAGGATTTCATCATAAGCTGAAATCGTTTAGTGAAACCATTGGAAAACCAATCAGCAAGCACTCGACAGCTGTTTTGTCAGTCTAGTTCGGTACTTTTCAACATCTTGCACTACCCACTACCACAGTTGTAACCGAGGACGACCCGGTTGCAAGGTGAGCTCGTAGACCATCCAGCTTCTGAGATCAAATCTAATATTTCACGACTGGCACTAGTCACTGTCATCTGTGGCGCATATTTGTCCTCACACCCAACCATTTTATACTCCACTGGTCACGAATTTCCACTAGAATCCTGATAGCTCACTACCTACCTGAATAAGTCCAGTCACTAGTGGGCATCAGATTAACGAATATATATTTGAAAAAAGAATCAAAACGTACTATGTTAATGAGTAGAAATCAACTTACAGTAAGGTGATTAAACCACAGTGGCATATACTTCAAATCTTCTATACTAGTAATCATTGTCTGATCATAGAAATTTGCTGCCCAATAAATAGACATCATAGTCTGTAAAAGTGTATACCAAATTATGCCATCGGTGACTTACCATATCATATCCAAATGCTGACAAGTAGAAATAGGCGTGTAAATTCTTGTAGCCAAATAGCAGAAATACAATTGATGTCAGATAATACATAAAGCATAAATTCTAAAATAAAAGCCGGCGAAATTTGAACGTGAGTGTATCTCTGTGTACCTGTGTAATACATGTGAAGAATTTCAACATTATTAACCCTTTGGATAGGTCAATATACGTGTCCTCTGGATAAAAACATCGATAGCCATAGTGTCCCCCGATAAGAAATGTTGATAGGATTGTTAGACGATATATAATGATGTAATAATTTTGACGTGTACATCCTCCGCAAGACTTCATCCTGATGGAAACAAGTTTAAGTTACCGGTGATCTTCTGAATAAGGAAAAAAGAAGGTGGAGATGGATTTAATGAAACAGAGAATAATACGTAATATTAGGCATTCGATTAGAGATAATCAGGAATTACCCTCTAGTATATACACATATCTAACTTTAAAAATAAATGTAATCATGGTGACTTGTCAATACGACACTGAGTCAGAATAATCAAAAGACAGTTGCAGTGAAGAAAATTTTCTTTTCGATGAAGTCACCGTCAACTAGACAGAGCTGTACATTCGTGTATTTATGATAAATGGGTGGGAAAGTTCCAGAGCAATTTCCGGTCAAGGGTCAAATGCGCCAACTTGAAAAACGTGCTGGTGAACATTATCCAGCCTGGCTAGTAAAAGGAGAACGAAAACGTTTATATAGCTCAGTGACAGAACATCTGGTCAATTCAGGACATTCAGTGGCATTCGAAAACCCTTCAAAATAATATACAAGATATCTGGGCATAGCCGAGTCACTAGCCATCCAAAAGCCCAGACCAACGCCATGTATCCGAAAGAAATACGTCAAACCCTTGTGCCTGCCATGTCCATCATAAACAGGTAATTCTTTTGATAGTGACTATCCCGTTATCTTATCCAAACTTCCTGCTTATTCGCGTTATTTTTCAGGTTTTCTTAATCCCTATTTGCACTACCACATTTTTTATCCAAACACCATTTCTTTTGTTGTTATTTCTACATTTCTAACCCCCGGTTGCACAATCAATGTCATTCTTCACAGTAATTATGATGCTACTTTGTTTGAGTTTCATCCGTCCCCTGTCTGTTTATTATGTCATTTTAATTCTTAATTGTAATTCTATTAATCTGACCCTTGACCGGAAATTGTTCTGGAATTTTCCCACCCATTTATTATAAATACACGAATGTACAGCTATCTAGTTGACGGTGACTTCGTCGAAAAGAAAATTTTCTTCACTGCAACTGTCTTTTTTATTATTCCCTATGATCAAATGTGTACATTCAGTGTTTTAAGTATTGATTCAACTGGTAATATTGATGAAAAAAGTGCAGGGATTTGTGATAACAAGAATTATCAAAAGTGGCATGCATTTAACTCCATCACGGATAAGTTTATTTCAAATGTCATCCAGGGATGATGCAGTATTCACAACTGGATCCAATACACTTCTGAGTTAGACGACGAACAGAGTGAGTTGGACTGTAGAATATAACGAAAACAAGATGATGGGAGGGTGGATGCCAGTAATTATAGGGAACCGACACACATAAATTAATAAATACTTAGACTTTAGTTAATTCATCCCATTCAGACTCGATGAAGGAGGAGTGGAGTCTTGTCACACAAAATCGAAGACTTACAAGCGAAAACCGACAAACTGGTCGAAAAAGAAGCAAAGACAGGACTCAGGGTGAACATAGACAAGACGAAGGTTATGAAAATAACCAAACAACAACAACAACAACAGCAGCAACATCCAGCGCCAATCACCATCAACGGGAGGGATTTGAAAGAGGTTACTTCATTCACTTATCTAGGGAGCATTATCTCAACTACAGGAGGAACGGACGTGGATATCAAATCGAGAATCGGGAAAGCGAGAAACACATTCATCAACCTGAAACCAATCTGGAAATCTTCGTCACTCAGCCTGCATCAACAAGAAAATTCGGATTTTCAATACAAACGTCAAGTCAGTCAGTTCTTCCATACGGATCAGAAACTTGGCCAGTGGGTCACCAAGAATATTTCCAACAGCCTGTTGCAGACCTTTATCAACAACTGTCTTCGCTGGTTCTATACTCAAGATCAGATGGCCAGAAAGAATCACCAACAAGAAACTATGGGGACAAACGAAACAAGAACCAATCGCCCAACAAATATGCAGGAGAAAGTGGAGGTGGATTGGACACTCGCTGAGGAGGCCGCTGGGTGACATCACGCGTCAGGCCAGTGCTCGAGTGGAACCCGAAAGGGAAGTAGTAAGTGTGACGTCCAGTGTGACATGGAGGAGATCGTGTGAAGAGGAGTTGAAACAGTTTGGACTAACCTGGATGCAGTTATAAAGTGCAGCAGAAGACATAAACAAGTGAAGAACCATAGAAAAAATTAGAATAATAATGGAAATGACAAAAATAATATCGAACTCAAAGCTTTTAAAGAAATGAGGCTCGACATTAGGGTGGCATTTAAACCAACCAATTATCTCAGTGATAATAACATCCATAGAGTAGGATGCAGCAGGTTGAAGTTGAGGCAGTAACTCATCGACGAAAACATTGTGAAGTGGTCAGACCATGTCACAAATTAGCAGAAGATAGAATTCATGGGCTGGTCATTGGACTGGTGGGTCCCAGTGGTTTAATAGTCTAAGAGCTCGCTAGTCTTGTAACCCGGAGGTCCTGGGTCTGAACCCTGGCGGTGGATGCGTACTGCTAAAGAGTCTCAAACTAGGCTGACGGAACAGCTATCCAGTATACCCCACAGGTTTTCCAATGGTTCTCTAACTGGTGTCAGTTCATGATGAAATCCTTGAACCAATCAAACAAATATTCCCCACAAAACCAATACCTGAAATCATCCAATGAAAAAAAAATTATTCGCCAAATAGCATGGAGTAACTGTCAGTGAGGTAAATTACATGGGACAGTCAAACTAGTAGGTCGGGGTCAGTTAGATTATTGGAACATAAAAATATAGCCACACCTAGAATGATTGACTCTGACAAATTCAAAAACCTAGAAAATAGCTCAGCCATTCCACGCCATTCAGCTTCATGTAATCGCATAATAGTTTGCATGAGAGTATTAAAGTGTAATATAGTTAGGTGGAATGATAGATAAGTTAATCATTGCATCTTTAATTGCCATTTCAACACTTCACATTTGCAGTCAGAATGACGCAGCGCCTATAACAGAGTTACGGAAAGTGGTAACGAACAACAAGCATAGGAGGGAGGGAGAGAAAGAGAGGAAAGTAAACAGAAGGTGAATTTTTAAGCTGTGTGACTAAATCGATATGATTATGAGCAATAAATTTTGCTCAAATCCTTGTCATCCAGTTGTTAGTACTGCATGACTGTGTCATATTTGAGATAAACCACGATTAGGAATATCACCAATAATATTCCTAATTATGTTGGACTGGATTATGTGTCAGACAGTCTGTGGGGAGTGAGAAGATAGGAATACGCTGCACTGATCGATAAAGACCTAGGGGATCTAGATTTTGCGCGCGGATGATTTATGTTTGATGTCACATTAACTGGAAGACTTACAGATGAAAACCAGACAACTGGCTGAAGAAGCGGCCTGACTAACAGCAGCAACAAGGACCCAAATACCATCATTAGGAGAAATTTGAAAGATTTCACTTCCTTCACTCACCTAGGAAGCATCATCTCAACCACAGTTGGAAGTGTTAAGGATGTTAAATCCAGAATCCGAAAGGCAAAGCAGACGTTCATCACTCTGAAATCAGTCTGGGAATCTTCTGCACTCAGCAATAAGAAAGTAATTCGGATTTTCAATACTAATGTGAAGTCAGTCAGTCAGTCAATTCTTCTATATGGGTCAAAACCTTGGCATGTCAGAATGTGCATTTTTAACAGCCTACTGCAGACTTTTATTAACAACTGCCAACGTCGCTGGCTGGCTCCATACTGAAGATCGAATGGCCGGCCGGCTGGCCAGAAAGAATAAGCAACAAAAAAACTCTGCAGTGCAACAAATCAACAGGCGAGAGCCCACTGCTCAACAAATATGTAGGAGAAAATGGAGATGCGAACGTTATGGAGGCGGTTGAATGACATCGCACTCAAGGTAGGCCATCACCTGAATGGAATCCGGATCGGCAGCGACAAGTGGGTGGTCACTGAGAGAGTGACTTGGAGAAGATTGTGTGAAGACGAGATGAGAGATAATGGGTAATCGTGGACCCAGCTTAATGAGACAGCGGAAAATAGAACAAAGTGGAGATGAGTTGTTGAAGCACTATGTTTCACTAGGAATAATAATTAATATAATTGGCGGATGCTGACTAACAGTGGAATCCAGGACAACGCGCATTTCGTGCTAGTTGGGACTCGTCAGTGGATGTACCTGCACTCCGCAGTGAATGATTAGGTTCCCGTCGAGGCTCGAATCCAGTGCCCACAGTTTCAAACGCCAAAGCGCTATCCACCAGACCACTTGGGACACGACAGCCATCTCTTGTGCAGCGGGTCATATTTATAATTTTACTTAATTTTAGATTTTCCCGTCGATTGATTCGACCAAAGTGCTCAGTCTTAGGTTGACATGTCGGCTTCTTGTGCAGATGCTATGACGATGTCTGGGCATGTAATTAGAAGTTGACTGGCGGATGATGACTTGCAGTGGAATCCAAGTACATCCAGATGACTACTCCTTAATAGGACGAAATGTGCATCCTGAGCACTTTGGTCCAATCAATCGACGGCAAAATCTAAAATTCAACTAAACCATAATAATATATTTACATGGAATTGCATTTTACTGCAGTGCCTAATTTCCACACTTACAATAATAAAAAGTGGCAAACAAACGTTCATGTAGGCGTCATAATCTATAAAAGATAGGAAAACCAAATACACAGTCGAAATAAATAATAGCAGGTTTTAAGGGAGCTAAGTAAATACTGAGTTCATTGGAAAGATTCTGTAGGATACGACGAATTACTTTGATTGCTTTCGGTTTTTCCCCACCAAATCGTAACTATCAACTCAATGTAACAAAAGAGGGCTTCGTATAGTTATGGTCTCTCCTTTACCAAACAATACTGACTGAGCTGTCTCGTACTACTCACAGCACAAAAATTAACACATGTGCAGCTGAAGGGATAAATTACTTCGTCAAAGCTCGTGGTTGCATGCACAACTTTTATAAAGTATGAAATTCTTGGATAACTACGCCAATGGCAGAACCAGAACCTGAGACGAACAAATGGAATCAATATACTTGCGTTAATTTCCACGCATCGTTCTGGTCGACTGAGTGTGTT